CATAAATAAACAGCAAGACTAACAAAAGTGAGGAGCGGGTTCTTTAGGTACATAAAAGAAAAATTAAGCAGTGTTTTTCAGAGAGGAAAAAGAGATCCAATATGCTGGGATAAAATGGTCATTTCACAGTTTTAAAAGATAAATATTAAAGAATACATTGTACACGACCTCTTTATTAATAGTTTTATATTTGAGTGACTGACCTGTTCTTCTGCATCTTGTAATTTTAACAGCTGGGACCCTTCGTATTGACCACACATAAATTCTGCTCCACTCTTATTCAGTGCCCCAAAAGGAGGAATATAATAACAATTTCCATTCCAGTATTTCCAAAAGGGGAAACACATCTTGCTTGTAAGGTCTTTTTGAAATAGAAGGCACAAATTAAAAAGGCACAAAACTCATTATACACCATCTTGTACCCATACCACCAGTCTTCAGTTTCCTGACTTTATACTGAAATTGATCCTTATGCAAAGAAATCATTAGACACATACTTAAATCCACTCCTCTTTAGAACAGATTTTATTATAAACACGTTTCAATTCTATTAACATACTTACACGCTTCCCTGAATAAGCAGCTTTCTTCAACCAGGGTCACACCAGGCTCCCCCCCAATGCAAAGCTTATTCAAGGGGAATCTAAATATCATTATTCCTTTCTATCCATCCATTGATCAGAAATAACCACCTGCTATGAAACCTAGTCAGAAAAAGACCAAGCTAAAAGGTTGCGTTTTATAATGTATTTAGAATGATGGTCAATGGCTCATAAAATGGTCAGACCAAAATAACAAACCTCAGCAGAAAAGGAAGCCCAACTCCCTATGCTGTCTTACTCACCATATTCACAAAGCTCTAATTTCTTAATTTCGTGACAAGTCACTGCACCATCACACAACCCTGTGATTCTATTGCAGGTTGTACGGCTGAGACAGCGTGGGCACTTCTGTTGGCAATACATGCCATGCCGTCCTTCACTGCAAGCTGAAAAAATTTTTTTTTTAATCTTTACATTTAGCTTTCAATTTTGGCAAATCCTGAGTGTTTAGATATATGGAGAAGGGGGGAATGAATGAATGAATAAATGAATGAATGGATGGGTTTGCACAGGTACGTATGTCTACAAGCACTGCACTGTACCATATAAGCGTACCCTAAACTTCTTTGGGTCTCAGGTTTCCACCTGTAAAATAGGGAAAATACTACCTCCCAAAGTCCCAGGGGTACTAAATAAATACACTAGCGGTGAAAGCTGCTCAGCTGCTTTGGTAGCCATGGTCATACAAATAGTGGAGATAGCTAGAAGGCAAATTGAGATTTACTTTCACAATCTGCCATTCAGTTGACTTGACACAACTCAGGGCTCAAACATGCCCTTAAGGGACAGTGCAGCATGTGCTTGCAATAAAAAGAAACCTGGATTATGGCCTAAACCAGGGGTTGTCAACCAGGAGTTCTTGGAAAGGCCCTAGGGGATATGCATGGGTGGGTGGGGATGGAGCGCTGCCCCCACCACCCTGCACCACCGCCTCTCAGGAGCAGGGGCAAGGGGGAGGGGGACAGGAAGCTCACATGCCCCCACCACCCATCACCTTGTGCTGCTGCCGTTCTGCATGCAGCCAGCACCAACCCCCTCCCCACACCCAGCCGTGTGCCACCCCCTCCCCTGCTCTGAATCCGGCTGCCGGGGGTATACTGATTAAAAAGGGTTGAAAACCCCTGTCCTATACTGTTGGCAAAACTTCTGATTTTTATTTTTTTCCTCTCTAAAAACAAATGCATCGACTTTCTTCTTAAAACAAAGGACACAACAGAAGCAACCCACACAAGCATAAAATGTTCAAAGGCAAGGATGCTCAAAGGCAACTGGTTGGTTTTTTTCTTATTATTTTGTGTTGGCTCTTACTGCTCAGACCTGATGATGAATGCCTGGCCATCTGGCTATAACATCACTCTAATTCTACCAAAAATGCTCAAAAGCATTTATGAGCAACCTTACAAGGCAAACCACTGTGTTAAGGGACAAGGTAAAAATACAACTCCTACAGGCAATCAGATTACAGACACTTGAGGAACAGAGAAAAATTAAAACAAAAACTAATCAGTCCTCTGATTTACATTTCTATGAGCATATTTACTGCATGTATAGCATTAAAGAAGTACATAGTTACCACTTTTCAGGTACACAGCAACATTTCTTTTTCTGTTGAAGATCAGCTCTTTACCACTGACAGGTATGTAACTTTGCCCCCAGTAAGTTACTCCAGAGCAATCAGCTGCTATGATACAGGCTGACATCGCAACCTCCAAGAATGTGTATGTTAATCCTCCTAGCGGCTGCAGGAGCAGCATTCTGGGGTATTTCCAAAAAATGCCATTACCTGAAAGATTTAAAGAAAAAAGAAAAGAAAAGCCACCCTTCATATTCTGTGCATTTGGTAACTCCAGTCCCTTACTGGACCTTCTGTTGGGTGAAAAGTGACTGGCATGCATTAGTAAAACAGCGGTACTCAGATTTTTTTTGTGCATGGAAAAGCATAGCTAAATCTCAGACAGCGTACTGACTAGGTACCGATAAATCCCATCGTCTCGCACCTGATTTTATTCATGGGTTGGGAGAAGAAAATTTTTCTTGCTATTTTAATTACTACTTGGTTCTCAACTTTGAATGAACTAAAATAAACTCAGCTGAAAACATTCTCCTCTCCCTGCAGAGGCAGCGACTGATGTCAAAGGGACATTAGCATTTCTGAACACAAGTTCCAAGAGCCTGGCAAAGGACTTCCCGAGTTCAGTGATCTGGCTATCTTTAAATCTTTGACATCAAATATGCTCTGCTTGAATATTAGCTTTCATTTAAGTCATTTTAAGAGATTATAGTAAATTTATGTGGTAATATGGGTTGTTATGACAAAACACAGTCAATTTATACATGTTCTCTGGGTAGCAGAGCCTGCTAGCATGCAAATCCACTCTAATGATAACCTGTAGATCAAATCCAGTTGAATTTGTTTCTAAAGCATAAACAATGCCACTAGAGGGCCACACAATCTCCCTATTACACAAATACACACATGATAATATGCACTTGAGATGTCAGTAATTTAGGCTTTGGTAGTGTTGAGCCACGTGATTGGCACACACTGGATCAGGCATGCCATTCTACTGAGCAAAGGACCGTGTTAACACATAGATGATAGACATGGTAGACACGCGATAGAAAGACCAAATGAACTACTATACAAACCAAAAAATGAAAATCACTGCCTACGAAGTGCTGGGTGTTTTTCCAGCAATCCTGTTCTGTGACTGCATTAAGCCATTTCACCCTCTCATTCTCACCAGGTTCCCCTTTCCTTAAAAATCAGAAAATACTTTGCAACCCGCCCACCCCAAATGAATGGTTTTGCAGGTTTCTAAAGAAACAAATTTTCCTTAAAAATGAACATAAACTGAGCATCTGAATTGTTCTCATCGTGGCATGTGTTCCAGCATTTCCAAAACCTCCTGAACAACAGAGGCTGGCAGTTGTTTCCCTGAGCAACCCAAAGCACAACACTTGGAAACACTGTTCTGAAATTAAGCCTAGCTCATTAGGTGGTTCATGGGAAATCATTGCAAATACTTTTTCAAAGCCTGTTGATTTCTGAACTTCTACTTTAGATGAAAAAATGGATTTCTTCATTATCACTCTCTTTGTTAACAAAGATAATCCAAACCACAGTGACCTTGCCTGCTGAAATGTCGTCGTGTTCATAGA